GTGACACCACACATGGAGCAAGCCCTCAGCTGGAAGTTCGACTGGGATAGAAGGGTTAGGCATTCGAGTGTGACACGCAGGATATAATGTGAATACTTGTGAGCAGTCGTAAAGTCGATTGAAAATGGTGGCGGAGAATTGACAAGGGATGCAGATGTGCCAGTGAAGCGCTATATTCCACTCGGAATGCAAAGAATGAATAATAATAATAATAATAATAATAATGCTCTATAAAAGTATGAGAACGTAGAACACAACAATATTTTCAGGAAATTTAGGCGTTTAGATTGACGACAAATAACTCAGGTTCTTATGACATGAGGAATGATTGTTTTTAGTCAACAGATGACAAACGAATCGTTGCGTATATATTGTACAATTCTGATTTATTATACTGTAAATCATACTGTCTACGACATGAGAAGTTGGATACCGCTCACAGCAGTCAGTAGTGTTTATTAGCCAGATTAAAGAGAATTAAATCTGGACGACCGTTTCGCTTCTGTAGGCCAGATTCATCAACCATATATCCGGTTTAACTCAGCTCAGAGAGCCGTTTAACCAAGTTAGGTTTAACAACTGAAATATCCTTGTCCTTGTTTGGTTTAAGGCTAGAAACACTCAATATTCCTACTTTCATTTACATGTAGTAGTACAACGCCTAGACTACATAGTATTTTTAGATTCTTCATAGTGGCTGCAATATTTAGTAGGAAGATTATGATAATTGTGGTGAGAGCAGGCTGCTAGCCAAATTGGTAGACATTAATTTACGTCAGTGTTTATGTCCCCAATATTGGTCGTAAGCAAAATGAGAAGAAAGGATTTGCGTAGGCGGATACAGTTAACATATAGATGACCTGACATTCAAGAAACAGTTACAAAGAGATGCAAGGACAACTTTCTGTGAGAAACAACCGATCGGAAGAGTGTGTTTGTTTGCTTGAATAAGCTATAATAATGTACATGAAAATATATAATTACGTGTTGATTTCCTTAATAAACGATCTGTTGCCTGGCCCCTGTCTTCTGTCGTTACGTAATGCCAACACCATGAAAGGTCATTCATTTCAGATTATTTTTCCTATTTTATTCCTTTATGTTCTCAGTGGAACATAGGACTTTAAGTTAGAGTTTTGAAATTTTAGTAGCAGTGATATTCCTCCTTACAGGGTGGGGGTGCTAGCTTCACGCCCACTCTTCCCTCTTTACCGGCTTAGAGAAGTTTAGACTGTTTGTTGGCCAGTGATCGAATCCCGGAGCACATATGTGTTTGGTGAGTGTTCTACCGTTGAACCACCGATGTACATTCACCTCAGATACGAATATACATATTCTACCGCATGTTTATTGCATTTATAATATTAAAATGGAAACTTCAACTACTGATTAACGCATTTGAAAGAAAGGAAGGAGGAAAATAGCTCTCTATATGATGTGGAAGTGTGCAACATACATTTCTTTTTCTTTCTTTTTGTTTTTACAAAATACAAAAGGGATTACGTGAAAAAAGACAAAAACAAAATATGATTCAAAATGTTGACAAGCCTTCATTTTTTTTTACAAAAAAAAACAGGCTATTTTCTATTGACTGCTTACAGTGAAAAAGTCAGAAAAACCACTAAATGACAAAACAGTGTCTGAAATTTTTTTTAATACTGTCTGAACAGACATTGGAAAGAGTTTGTATCAAAAATCTGCTAATCATGCATTATATAGGTGTGTGTGTGTGTGTATGTCGGTAAGCATGCATATCAACGACATGTCAACCATAAAGCATAACATTATAGGTGAATGGTCTCCATTTAACTATCTTGAGCAAATTACTTAACAGATAGGAAAACATAGTTATAAGCAAGTTGTAAAATATATACCCCTCGGCTGTGCTAATTACACACACACACCCTTCTGAATTTGATTGTTTCTATTTATAAGAAATCAGTCAAGCCAAAATGAATCAGAATGGAATAAATTAGACATCAGATATAAGTAGCTGAATAAGACAGCTTTCATTAATAACACTTGCTTATCATCTATGAATTTGTTTTTTACTTAAAATGCATATCACTATGCATATCATCATATGTCATAAGCAAACCAAACAATAACGCGCATCACAAGTTATGCATCAAATAGGTATGTGTGTATCCACATTTAAAAAAGTGACAAGCATGAAGGAAACAATTTACATTGTAAATAGGCATAGGGTGCTACGTAAAGAAGGAAGTGAGTCGATAAGGTTGATATATCCGGTAGGTAGCTTAAATCACTGGGTTAACAGAACAGAACCTTAACAGAACTGGGTTACTAGTGTTCAATCAAAATATCCACTACGGTCCCACAAGAGGTCAATCGCGAACCCGAATAGCTCAGTGGTAACGTCTCTGACTGCAGCATTGGGTGACGCGGATTTGAATCTCAGAAGGGATATGAGTCCCTTCAACGTTGCAGATACGTCTTGGTGACTGGTGAGTGCCAACTAGCACGAAACCAAGATGAAGCAAGGCTTTCTGCCGATTGCCTCTAACCATCTAATATCATCTAATCAATGTGCACCGTGACGGCGAGCTACCTATAATGTTGGCCACATCACAAACCTGACTGATAGAATTCAGTCTGCACCAAAGAAAGGACTAAATACATCACACTAGTTACTAATGTCCAATCAGAATTTCAATCCATTAAAATGCTTAAACTCTTTTGCATTTCTGATTGTTTTAATCATGTAATTACACCAAATCGACCAGTACACGGACTCGCGCGCATATTTAATTAGTTTCCCACTGTACGCTATGGAATTTTCGAAGGAACTAAAGAAAAAAAATGTACAGATTTGGTTCTCTCCCCATATACATCAACACTACGACAAATGATGTACTTCAGATTATTGTTTTACATGTAAATTCTGTATGAAAAGGAAATATTTTGGAAGCAAACAAGCTGAAAATTTCTGTAATATATGTTCACATATTGTCTGAAATAAAGCTTTATTATAATATGATTAAGCTATATTGATTCAGATGGCTAGGATATGTGTTTCGCACGCTAAGCACCACCACCTTCCTCGATGAGCACTGTTAGCTGATATAGGGTGGCCAAACTAAAACTTAACGTTAGCTTATTGAGTCTTTGACAGTTGGACTTAGCCAAAAAATGTAGGGTGGTGTTATTAGATAGTTGAAAGCAATTGGCAGCAAGCCGTCGACCTAGCTTTTGCGTTTCTTGGCACTCGGGACTCAAGTCTGAGACTCGAACCATGTCACCGCCCAGCTGTGGTCAAAGACGTTACCACTGAGCAATTAGACTCACGATTAACCTCTTGGTGAGGTAGGGGATATTTTGGTTGACACTAGATAATAACTAGTGTAATGTGCTTAGTCCTTTGTTTTACAATGAATTTTATCATTCAAGTTTGCAATATGGGCATGAATTCCGTAAAGAGCAGATACGCCTTGCTGATGAGTGCACAAAAGCTAGGTCAAAGGCTTTCTACCGATTTCATCAAATTTAATAACACCGATGCAGAGTTCACCGTAAGGCGATCTATCTAGCATGGTGATCACATTGCGAACTTGACAGATAAATTCAGTTAGTAGCATGTTATAGTTACTACTAGTGAGAAATTGAAATTACGTAGAGAGTGATGTAGACTACTCGGATGGGGTCCTCAGATGCTAAGAGTGAATGAACTCAGATGTATCTAAATTTCTTTGTGATCATCCAGATGCATTAAATCCTCATGTTCTCTCAAGCTAGTATTATTTTTTCCGTACATTTCTGCTTATCATCATTCATCTGAATTTCTTGTTTTCCCTCTGTTTAGTCTGTTTTTGAATACAACCTGAAGTGTGGCAACTTGGGCTGTTGCACTTTTGTTCACAATTCGATGTTGCAACTCAGTTAGTACAACGATATGCATACATTAGAGTAATACTTATTAATCACTATTAATACTACTTAATTCAGTATTAATTAGTAGCTTATATGAGTAGAAGGATACAGAAACTGAGAGTTTCAAGTATTGGTTTGTAGGATTTGGTTGATTGGTTACAGGATTTCATTATGACCTGACACTGGTTAGATAACCATTGGAAAACCGCCTGGGAGTACTGGACAGCTGTTTCATCCTAGTTTGGGAATCTTCATCAGTACGCACCCACCGCAAGGGTTTGAACCCAGGACCTTCTGGTTACAAGGCGAGTTCGTATACCATTAAGCCACTGGGACCCTATCCAGTCGCCCATGAATTCTAACCCCTGCAATTCACGATATAGCGCGACCGCTAGCCAATGTCTTTGGCGAGTATTTGTCCTCACACCCGACCTGCTGCTCCCTACTGGTTATGACTTCCCACTGGAACCCCAGGTAACTAAGAAACTGAGAGATTAGGCGTAAACTTTAGGTGTTATACATTTTCAGTGATACGTAAAAACTCGCTAATATTACCTAGATTTAAAGCAAATGGAGGTATTTGTTAGAACTTAGGTTTCCAGAGTTAACCTTGTGGTTACCATTCCATACCTAGCATTCGAGTAGTCACAAAACATACAGTTTCAAGTCTTTTGTAAGTTTACACGACGTGTCACACGTGTAGTTTATTCACCGACAAAATAGTAGGCGAGTAAACCATGGGGTAAATCGAGTAAATGAACTATTTTGGCTACAGTATTGCTTATTTTAACTACTACCAAACTTCTTACAAATACCTGAGGCATACAGTCAATGATTGACTCTGTGAAACTTTAAAACTGTTCACTGTTAAAATACTTAACACAAACAGATAATGGAGTTTAATCAAATTTCCTAAGTGGTCATTATCCGCTAAAACTTATCTTACTAGTTCTGAGATGAGTTATCAACTGAATACAATCTATTTAGCCCCCCCCCACACACACACACACAGACACAAAACACTGATATTACAAGGGGCAGGGTTAAATTTTCATTTCAAGCACGAGAAGAAGACAGACAAAAAATATGTATGTATATATAAATCTTACAGTTTGTTTGATTTCACCAGCTTGTCGAACAAGATCATGTGGACTATTCATAGAATTTCCCTTATCTGATGTATCCCAATCACGATGATTGATTGACTGACCATAATCCATTTTTGGTGGATGATTATTACTAGACATCATCTGTGGCATTTGTTGTCGTGTTTGCCAGGCGAGAAATTCTTGTGAAACAGGTGACGATGATGAGGACTGAGCATAAGATGATGATGGTGATCGAGCCATCCGATATAATTGTCTATTAGAAGAATCTGACATCATAGGCCATCGAGAGATATCTGAATGATTTACACGATTATCTTGACTATGAGATCCAATAGGATTGAATAGCGTGGGCATTCGTCGACCTGAAGAACCAAATCGACATTCGGATTCAAACTGAGAAAGGATAAAAAAAGAGGAACAGTCAAAATAATCAATACATTGATATGAATACAACTGAATACAAAAAGCAACCTGGAAGAGGATGAATCCATAAAAATATAAACAAATGCATACACTAGTTCGTCTGCTGAACCAGTTGAATGTGAACGATGTAAAGGATAAATAAAAAAAATAATAGTAAACTAATAAAAACAAACGAAATAACGTAATATAAATTGCAAACAAACTTTCTTTCTTACGACATATAAACTTCGTTGGCTTACTTTTTTTCGATTTTCAAACACACAAAACAAGAGTTTAATGATAAGAATACAACATTTTGTTTACAACATTATGTTTAATGATCAATTAGAAGACAAAGAGAGAGAAAGGAAAGTAGAACACATTACAAAGGCGCACCTGTTCAATCTTTCACAATTTTCAAAACAACACAGTAGGGTAGAGCAAAGTACAAACGCGGACAAAAACAGACTAGTTGTAAGTATAATAAACTGAATTCATATATGTATGATGTAAGAGAATAATTAAGTGCTGTTACTATCTTCTGTTGACTGAATTTCAACATAGAACTTTGTACAGAGGCGAAACAGTTCAAGTTACTACACTCCATATAACACATTATGGTATACAAAAAAGAGACAAAAATTCAAGAAAAATATAACGAGGTGAAATGTACGACAGAAAGAATAATTACATGGAGAAACATGAAGATTTAAGGTACAAAGAGTAAATGCAGCATCTGGGCCATCATTGAGAACGATTTCGAGCAGTATAACCAATTACCTCTTCAGCCATCATTGCTTCTTACCATACCGAAGACCTTAACCAGGAAGTCTACATCACTGCACATGGCTAGCCTAAACTAACTGTTATGGATTTTATTGACTGATTCCATGTTTTAGTTTCATTACCACTAGTTCTTTTCCAGCTTAATCATATATATATGTTTACTGAGAGAGCATTTATGTCAAGTAAATGAATTTACCTTAGATTTTGTTTCACTATAGCGTGTTTGTAAACTAGTTATCGCTTCAGATATTTCCATTTGAAGATTACGATTAACTGCAGGAAAGTTAAATGATCGTTCCAGTCGATTGGTTGCCATAATAATTGCATCTAGATGAAGCAAAAAGAAAAAATATACATATTTAACTTGATTAGATACATATATATTTTTTAAATAGCAGTGTAAAGCATATAAAATAAAATATTAGCCTATGCTTTGATTTGTGAGCTCGTAGCGCAACGGTAGCGCGTCTGACTTCAGATCAGAAGGCTGTGTGTTCGAACCACGTCAGGTTCAAGGCTTTAGCGTCGATGGCTTGGTGGTAGAACACTGGTCAACCAAGCAAGTGGTCCGGGGTTTAACCCCCACCGACGCATACCTTTACCTCACCTAGCCAGTAATAAGCCTGGTAAAGAGAGAAGGTTGAATGTGAGGTTAGCAACCCCATCGCGTAAGAAGAAACACCACTGCTACTGAAACTTCGAAGCTCTAGTTTAAATCCCAATGTTCCACTGAGAATGTAAATTTTATTATTGTATCCTTTAGTTCCTAGAGGAACATAGGGCTTCAGCTGCGCACCTCCACTGCCTTCGGTTTTTTGACAACTTTTCACCCCGCTCAGGTCTGTCCACATGCTTTCATCTCCTCCTCGCATGACCTCCTCCAAGTCCCCTTGCACTGACGAAACTCGCCGCCTCCCTTTCGGGTTCCACTCAAGGGCTTGTCTAGTGATGTCACTTGAGGTTTCCTCAGCGTATGGCCAATCCATCTCCATTTCTTCCTGTCTGTCTGTCTTCGACATAGAACTTTGCACAAATGTGCGGAAGTTCAAGTCGCCACATTCCGTGTAGCACGCGAAGCAAGAGAAGAAAGTACAAGAAAAGCATAATAGAAACAGTGAGCAGAGGTGTGAGACAAAGGAGTAATAAAGAAATACAAAACAGTTTCATTGAAGATCATAAGTCACAGGGAGTGGATGCATCTGCGCCACTGAGAACGATTTTGAGCCATGTCACCAATTGTTTCCAACCATAGATTTTTACCGTCCCGAGGACCCCAGCCTGGAAGTCTACACCTTCCTACGTGGCTTAGACCAACTGTTGTGGATTTCATTGACTGATGCCAAGTTTTTGTTTGACCGCCGCTAGCTTTTTTCCAGCCTGACCCTATATCCGCTAACATTGCTCGTCGAGGGAGGCGATGGCTTGGCATACGTAACACATGTCCTAACCATCTCAGTCTTTGTAGCTTCACGACTTCGTCGATTGATTTCCCTGTTTACCTAGAACTCTACGCCTAACCTCCATGTTGCTCACCTTATTATGCCACTTTACACGGGAAATAGAACGCAGGCACCTATGATCAAAGACAGCTAGTCTTTTCATGTCTTCCACTCTCAGTGGCCAGGTCTCACAACCATAAAGGAGGACGGAGCGGACTGATGAGCAGTACACCCGCCCTTTGGTCGATAGTCGAACATCTCGTCTACGCCAGAGTCGGCGTAAACTAACAAATGCGAAACGAGCCCCTTGTATTCGTGCTGAGATTTCGTCAGAGATCAGCCCGTTGGGGCTGATGGTACTTCCCAAATAAGTGAAGCGGTCAACGTGCTCTACCACTTCACTTCCTATTTTTAAACTAGGCGTCGATGTAGTCCAGTCCTGTAACATCATCTTGCATTTGGCGGGAGCGAATCGCATGCCAAACATTCGTAGATTGCGGCTCAAGGTGTTTAGAAGACTCTGCATTTCGTCAGCGTCTTCGCCTAGAAGGACTATATCGTCTGCATATTCCAAGTCAACGAGATTATTCCCGGTAGCAAGTCAATCCCTGAGTCGCTGAAGTCACCTAGGGTTAAGTCCATTAACACATCTATGATGAAGTTGAATAGAAAAGGAGATAATGGGCATCCTTGACGGACACCACTGGTCGTCATCAGTTCAGATGACAGCTCGCCGTAAGCCCTCACCTGGCTGTATGAGTACGAGTAGAGTGCCTTAATCAGTGCAATATATTTTCTTGGAATTCCCTTTACAGCCAAGCATCTCCAGAGAACTTCCCGATCGACAGAGTCGAATGCTGCCTTTAGGTCAAGAAATATAATGACTGTTGGACGCCGGTAGGAATGCCTATGTTCTAGAATCTGTCGGAGGGTGAAGATATGATCAATACACCCTCTTCCTGGTCTAAAGCCTGCCTGGCTCTCTCGTGTTTGTGCTTCCCGAGCACCACTCAGTCTACGCATGATTATTGAGCCTAAGACTTTAGATACTATATTAGTCAAGCTAATCCCTCTGTGATTATCACAGGAAGACTTGTCTCCCTTCTTGTATATGGGGATAATCAGTGACTTACACCAACCCGATGGGACTTCTTCTGATTCCCAGACGCTAGTACCTCAGTTAATCGACAGTAACTGTCTCCACCGTACTTAAATACCTCTGGTCATTCCATCAGGTCCCGCTGCTTTGCCTATTTCAGATTGGTGACAGCTTTAGTAACCTCAGTTAGTGACGAGGACCTGTGTATATCCCATTCAGGGAGGTTGGATGCTCGAAGGTTGAGCGTGGCGTGGCAATTAAACTGCTCCTCATAATGCTCTTTCCAACGATCCAGTCGTCTATCCTGGCTAATTATAGTGCCATTTTTTTCCGAGATTGTCTCACTATGATTTGTCTTCTCCACCCGTTTCCCTGATGAGTCCAAAGAGTTGCCTGGTGTTGCCTATCTCAAGCTTTCTCCATCTCTTTGGCTTTTGTCGCCCACCACTGTTCACGGTCCTTGCGGAGACTTTTCGTAAGTTTCCTCTTGTGCAGCTTTCGCTCCTCATTGAATTCGGAGCTCGCCGGAATAAGTCTTCTAGCATCTATCAGTTCGGATGAGGCGGTGGAATCCAGTGGTTTTTACTCACCTTTGGGTTTACCTTATTCACAGCTTTTACAGCTGTATCTATGGCTGCCTGGATATTTTTCCAAGCTTCTTCAGGGTGAGCACAGCTGTCGAACACAGATATGTGTTTAGCTAGTTCTTCCTCAAATACGGATTTAGTTTCCTGATCGAGCTGGGGACGTGATGGTTTTACCGCCAGCTGTTTCCTACGTCCGTTCAGTCGTAAGCACACCGAGCGCGGACCAGTGCATGGTCGTATCTACGCACGTGTTCCAGAAGGAGGACAATCTCCTACCGACCCACGCCAACGATAGCTTATTGCTATGTGGTCTATTTGTGTCCAGCGTTGGTTTGATGAAGGGGGTCTCCAAGTCAAACAGTGTCTCTCCTTGTGTTTAAAGTTAGTGCTTACAAGAAACAAATGATTATCAGAGCAGAACTGTAGGAGACGGTCACCGTTGTCGTTCGCTGGCACGGACTCCATAGGTGCCACCGACATCCTTCTCAGATTGACTATTTGTTTCACAATCGGTTCCTGATTGGTTCGTTCCCAGAGATCCCTGTTGTGATCTTTTCTGGCCATCTGATCTTGAGTATTGAGCGAAGACAGCTGTTAATGAAGGTCTGAAGTTTGTTTGAGAATGTAAAGCTATAAATTAATAATGCTTTAATTCTAAAGGGAAAGATAGTCTATGAAATTAAATCCAAAAATCTGCAATTACCCGATCGTTACAACTTTATAGATGAAAGTCATTCGTGTATGTCAATAGTAATAACCTTCATTTTACACCAGAAAAAAACAAAAACAGGTAAATAATATATCCAATGAGATTTGAGGAAACTTGGTATAACTTTCATCAAGAAGTGATATTGTTAGGTATATGGTAGGTGATGTGTTTATCAAAAAAAACACTGGCAACATTAATTAGTGGTACAGATAAGCAAGTGAAAGGAGGGGTTAGAAAAGTAAGACAAACCTTTGTCAATCTGAAATCAGTGCAGAAATTCGCAGCATTCAGTATGGGGAACAAGACTCAGATTTTAAATACTAATGTCGAGTCAGTTCTTCTATATGGTTCAGGAACTTGGCAGACACGTCACTGTAGGCCTTTCCAACAGGCTTAAGACTTTTAACAACAGCTACCTTCTCCTCATACTGAAGATTAGATTGCCAGAAAAAACTGGCAACGAGGAATTCTGACAGGCAACGAACTAATCAAGAAACTATTCCCCAACAAATATGTAGTAGGCAATGGAGATGAATTCGATACATGCTGAGGAGACTTTTGAGTGATATAATGGGCCAGACAGACTTTTGACTGGAACATGGACGGGAGACGACAAGTTTGATGCAGATCTGAAGGTGACTTACTGACTGGCTGGTTTCAACACAGAACTTAGCGCAGAAACACACCAGTTCAAGTTGCTACATTCTTCCATGAAGCAAACAAAGGAAGACAAAAGAGATGAAAAGGGGATTCGAAAGAACGATGATAAGCAGAAATGTATGGCAGAAAGAACAGCAATATGGATGAACAATAGGGTTTTATTGGGCATGGTAGATCACACGGAGTAAATGAATTTGCGCCGGTGACAATGATTTTGAGCCACCTCACCAACTAATTCGGGATATTGGTTCTTAGATTCTGGAAGACCCCAACCACGGAAAATTTCACCTCCCGACATGGCTTAAACTAACTGTTGTTGTTGGTTTCACCACTACTAGCTCTTTACCAACTAGGAATGAGTAGCACATATCCTAGCTATCTCAATCGATGTAACTTCACAACCTCATCGGTTGTTTCTCCCTCCTTACCTAACACTTGATACCAAAAGTTACATGAAGTAGGAGAGGAAGGATTATAGGAAATCGTAGAGCCAACTAAAACGAACTGCAGAAAACAAACTGAGAAGGAAGTGAGCTGTTCCACTCAGGACCCAAGGGAATAATGTTGATGTAAAGAAAAACTAATTAGGTTCGACTGTGAGTAATTTCGCTGATTCTTATTGTTGAATACTTTGAATTGGAACGAAAAAGTTGTCCAATGCACCTTCATTGTCACCAATTTCCTGAGCCATATCTATTAGCGACAAAAAGTAACTCCAGTTAGTAACTGTATACAATTGTTATCATAATATGCATATTCAACATAATCACCGTATCTGACATTCCCAGTGTTAGAGGAGTTAAGCTAGTAAAAGCAGTGCACATACACACTAGTATGCTATCACTAGATCGTCTTTAAAATGGCTAACAGGTAAGCTTTTCGAGACCTTTATAAACTTGTTGGGATATCAGCTTAACCTTGTATATCCACCCTCTTACAATGGTAACCAATATGATAGCTGATTAATAGTTTTAATGTATACAGTAATGAAATAAACAATAAGCAGTAAGTGGGTATAAAAACTATTTTTCTTAGTGTTATATATGTACATGAACATTTGATTATCAACTTCCTAAAACTAATTTTGTAGAGCTGTAGCTGGTTAGTTAGTCTAGGTGCACTGCTTCCAAACAGTGGGTCATAGGTTCAAACTTTGATCCACCTACAGAGGTTTTGGTCAGCCAGACCTCAGTAGGCGTTGCTCATAGTCAACTTTGTGAAATGACAAGTGGTTCTCAAGTATCATTTCATTTCATACTTTGTTTGTTCAGCCGAGACAACACAACCTTTTTTCTGATAAAGCATATATTTCAATACGCAAATGTGTAGTCATCAAGCGGGAAGTAGGACATTCAGCATATTTTAACTGCTGATTAATTGATTGACCGAGTGAATGTTGAAACAACATGGGAATTTGCATAAAAGTGCATCAGGTGAAGTTGCTGAACTTCGAGAGAGAATAAAAGAGGCACACATAAGAGGAGAAAACAGAAATCCCATGCATGAAGATCCATGTACTATTTAATCACCATTCTACGCCTTAAAAGTACTCATTTAAAAAAAAAAAAGAAACTAACTTATTTTAAATTTGCAAATGAAAAATATTTAATTCAAGCAACAACAACACCTTACTTACAGAAGAGACTTTACACTTCAATACACATAACAGCTATTTCCATGTTATAAAACACTCTTATTGACACCACAAAGTAACCAACTTTAAGAAATTAAAACAATGCAGTTCAACAGGGAATAGAAGACCAACAGTACAGTGTTTTGGAGATTATTAAGCAATAATCGAGTTACAATCCAACAAGTGATAAGAGCAATACTCACACAGTGAAAAATAAATATAGTTCTACCTAATTTACAACACATATGAAAGGCTGTTACGTAATAGAAGCTGATTGATTAAACAAAATAGAAGGCAACTGATGAAAGCGAAGCAAGGAAATCCTGCTTATTAAAAAGTTGTTGGTATGCTGAACGCTTAAACAAATTCTAATCGAGTACCCTTCAAGATTTATAACTTTCTGAGGAAAGACTTTTCGCATATAGTTCTACTACACATTTTCAACGGTTCATTTATTAGAAATCGATGACGACACGGTGTTGGAGGTACTAAAAGCATGTTTTAGGTGAACCCACTCCTAAAGTGTTAACATTTAATGAATGTTTCAATCAACCATACTCATAATAAAACCTAACATTAATTTATGAAGTATTTGACAGTTGCTCTGAGCTAACCATATACGAAGGTGTAGGCTGCCTGATTGGGGTCTTCGGGATGCTAAAAACCAATGGCTGGAGACTGTCAGTGATATGGCTCAGATGTATTCACACTCTGTAACCTCTCATATCCGTTAAATCTGACTGTTTTTCCATGTTATTATTCTTTTTATCCCCCACTTTTCTGCTTATTATCGTTCTTTCGAATGTCTCTTCTTCCCCTGTGTTTGTATGCTACATAGAGTGTGGCAACAGGAACTGCTGCACTTCTATGTCCAAAGCTGTAAGTTGAAAATCAATCAATCAGTCATAATCCTATTACCTTAAGGTATTACATCAATGGGACTATGTTTTTGAAAAAACAAAAATCTAATAGTCACTGTAAACACTAAAGCATAACAAAGAAAAAAATTAATTCATAGGAGAAATTACCAATTAACTGAGGCCAAATATACGCCAACTGTGCTTCATTCGGTCCATCACCGTGTAAACAACTGGCTAGTAATTGTGAACAACTGTCAGGACACACATTAGACGGTGATTGTGCATTGCATAAAGCACAGAATCGGTAACGTGTAATCCCCAAAACACACTGTGATTGCGTCACAACCTGATAGAATTAATAACAATAAGAAGAATGAATTATAGGCAAAAAATTAAATATGAATGCCAGTCATTGATTTATAATAAGTTTCATCCGTTTAGGGATTACTAGATGTTATTGTATTTGTCAAAGAAAACAAATACTGTTGGCTCTTGCACAGCGAAAACATGAAAGGGATAGTGCAAGTTGTTCGTTGGAAAATTATAGGTAGACAGTAATTCTGTTGCTTTTTATACTTAGGCATTATACAATCATCGGCCTATTCGTCACTAGTTTTATCTAGTATGTCGCACGACGAAAAGTATTTCCAACGGCCTACCGCATACTTGAATTAACAGCTACCTTTGCTGACACCATACTCAAGACAGGATGATCAGAATGAATAAACAACAGGGAACTCTGAGAGTGAGCCAACCAAGAATCTATTGCTTAACAAATACTCCGAAGGAAATAGTGATGAATCTGACACATCCTGAAGAGACGTTTGAATGACACTGTACGTCAAACCGGAATGAGAAATGACATGTTAGGCGTTGGTGCAAGGGTGACACGGAAGAGGTCGTGTGAGATGACAGCTTATCGGGAAATCGTGGGATCAGCTAGAGACGGCTTTAGATAACAGGATGAAATAGAGAAGCCCTATGTTCCGTTCCAAACCCAAGGCAATCATAATAATAACAATTGTATTAGAGTTGAAAAGTGGTGTAAAGACTGTAAGTTGTTATACGGTTCTATAACCCACTGGTACACAGTCGACTTCGATATGATGGAGAAGATTTGTAGCACAGGTGGATGATTTTGATGTGGTTGTGTTCTATGAGATGGACAGTTGATTTTTGAAGCTTTCATCGCCCTACTAGGCAACATCTTCAGCGCATACTTCAAAATGGAAGTACCCATCTCAGAGAACACAACCACATCAAAAACACAGTCGACCGTTAGTGAATCAGTGAACGCAGTGGTAGTAAGGCATAAGTTTTAAGGTTATCATTATCTTCTAGTCGCTAACATAAATTATACTTTATTAGTGAGATCAAAAGCCCGAATAATCTTTGATGAATAAATATAGGTATTTCGAGAATACATATATACCAAAGGTTCTGATAATCTTGGTTGATTCTCAAACTTCTTCCACTACATAAAAATACCTTAAAGGAACAAAATTCAAGCATAAAATTTGGTCTTTCGTAGATACTTCTTCAGTAGAAAACCAAAATAAATCCATGTCTTAACTTAAGTAAACGTATATCTGCGAATGATATCAAATACACGTAAATAACAGCGCCAAGATAAATAAAAAGGAGGCATATAATCATTGGAATGGGAGGGGCGGTGGTGATAAAGAATATAGAACACACACGCTAAAATAATAATAATAAAGGCATATGGAATAGAAATACATTTCTTTCATGATTACTTAGATCTTAAGGTTGCCGACAATGTTCCTATTCTCTTTATCAAATAAATTTAGGAAAAGTATTTTCGACGGAAAAAACAAATGCGAGTTAGACAAAAAACACAGTTATAAATGTATATACTGTAAAATAATAAAAACATTTTCCTTGAAGAAAACAACACTGATATACAACAGGAATTCATTTCAACACAAGTGATATCTATAAAGTTCTCTACGATTATACTTTCATTCAACAACTACTTATAGTAAGAAGTAACTAAATAGTTAACTAACCAACTAACTGACTAATTAGGTAATCTATTTTCTATACACCTCACTAACTGAACATGTTAATCCTACAACAAATGAAAGAATAAAAAATTGTATTCCATCTTGTAATGGTTAGTTGTAATCCTCTCTAAAGGCTCACACATAGTTTGATATACAGAAATCTGTTCCAGCCAACTAAACTGTAGTTGCTAGAAGCAAGCAACAGACATAATATCTAGATTGACATAAAAACCTATGCTCAGAAAAAAATTAAAACGCATGGAGACTAACAAAACTCTCAACATATCAGAAGAGCCAAATATACAATTTGCCTATTACAAATCCTTACGTCCTAATGTAATTTAAAATATGAATGATACTGTAAACGTTAACACGTAAATTGAAAACACTAAGTGTTATGTGACTGTAACTACAGTCCAGTGTAGCTTACAACCAAAGCTCGTTTGGTACACGCCAATTTACGCCATCTCTGGCTTAGCAGACATGATATCCATCCGGCTGTCGACCAAACAACGTGTGAACTCCACAGCAGTAGTTCGCTTCATCCTCCTTTATGGTTGTGAGACATGGCTATTGAAAGTGGAAGACATGAAAAGGTTGGCTAGCTGTCTTTGATCATAGGTGCCTGCATTCTATCCCGTGTTAGATGGTTTAATAGAGTCAGTAATATTGAGTTTAGGCTTGAGGTGCAAGTTAAGGAAGGAAAATCAATCGACGAGTTTGTGAAGCTACATAGATTGAGATGGCTAGGGCATGTATCAGGCATGCTTGGCCATCTCCTTCCTTGATGGCCAATATTAGCTGCTGATATACGATTAGGTTGGAAAAAGACCAGTGGTAGTTAAACCCAAACATGGCATCAGTGAATGAAATCCACAGCAGTTAGCTTAAGCCATGAGGAAGGTGTAGACCTCCTGGTTGTGGTCCTTGAGAAGGTAAAAATTAATGACTGGAGACAATTAATGATATGACTGAAAATCGTTCTCAATGGCGTATATGCACTCACTGTGATTTGTCATACCCAATAGAACTCTATTGCTTTTCCACAATACTATTCTTTTTTTTCAAACATGTGTTTTTTATCCCCGGCCGATAACTGCTACCTAGTCGTGGTGGTCGGGCTTGAATACCGTAATGACCCAACATGCTAAACTGACTGGGACTCTGTCCCTGCAGGTCCTACCATGTCAGGAAGGTTGTTTGGATAGCAGTTAAACTAAAAGCAGTTACCATGGGGTACATGGGCTCCAGTATCCAATCGGATCAAATGGCGTATGAACCAATATGGGTCACCGGAAACCATGGGAATGCAGCTCCTGACGCTGCTTCGCTGCCTTGAGGATTAGACTTCAAGTCAAAGGCTCGGGAAGTGGTCCCTTAATAAAACCACCTGCTTCGGTCTGGGCGCTCGGGCAATATCTCAGCCCTCATACAATGAATTGAATGAAGCAACATACAATCAATGAAACTTATCGCGCGCTATTACATGTGTTGCAATTTCCTTCTTTCTTCCCTTCCCGATGACAGTTAACGAATACTGTTTGAACTTGTTAAGCATGACTGTTTTCCTTCCAGATGAAGTTCTTTATCCGTTCTCTACTTATATATATATATTTCTCTTCTTTCTTTTTTTCTTTTGATCTGTTGTTTTATTATTATTGTGTGGCGCATCCTTCTTGGTGCCATATTGTACCAAGTTTTTATGCGTTTAAATAAATAAATAAAATGTGTTTGTTATCTCTGTTTTGAATCTCTCTTTACTGTCTTCTCTTGCTTTGTGTGCTACATTGAGAGTGGTAGCTCAAACTGCTGCACATCTGAGCAGTTGAAACCAGTCAATCAAGGTGAAGTCACAGTTGATGGCACATAGCCAGTTAATCTATAAATTTATTTACAGCATAACCGAACAGTCAAGTGCATATTTGTACACTAGATACTTAATCAAACCTGGACTGTAATGTGCTTAGTTTGTCTAAAGTGAAGTAAGATCCTGACATATTCCTTGGTGTTTGTAAGACAAGTAGTTAGATCAATGAACAGCAGACTTAAGAGCTTATTTATAAGTGAATAAATTGAAGTTGAAATATCAAAGAAATGACTTTTTTAAATAAAGCTTCTCTAAAATTAAAATAGGTACTGAAAACTAAATCCAACTATTCCCATGGTTACACAGCATTTGCTTAGTTTCCTTAATGACTATTTCCACAGAATATGAAAAGAAAATATTTTGAAGTACATGCACAAATCCAAGTGTAAAGATGAAGAAAGTATCACATACCTGATCAACAAGCTGGTATAATAATTTGCTGGTTACAGATAGAACATTAACCAACATACGAGCAGGTGGATAGGCTTCAAGCATACGAGCATGCAGTCGAACATCAACATCATCAAATGGACGCAACTGTGCCACCTTATCAGATAAACAACGAATACGCCGAGATTCGCTAGCTTCATCCGTCCCACCGACACCAGGAACATTATTAGCAAGTGAACCGGCACTAGATGATACAGAGCCAGAATTACCAAAGGAAGGATTAGAGGTAACTTGTCCAGATCTCTCAATTAGACTAACAATACTGTCACGGAGTTGACTGAAGAAATTTTTAATTAATAATCCCAGTTGACCTCTTTGACCAGCCATATATTGCTCCAAATCGGTGAAAAACCCGAAGAAGAAATTTCTGTGCAATTTGTAGTTGTAGCCATAAATCCGGCTGAAAAACTGATGTAACCGTCCTTTAGCTTGTTGTAAATCCATTTGAAAAGTTACTAAATAAGAAGCGAATTGAAAATTGTGAGGTTAGGTGCATAACACAGTTAAAATGAGGGATAACTAAGGAGCTAAGGTGCTCAAGATATTTGTGAATAACTCCGTCAGTAATGGAAATAATGAATGAAGTTATATGAAACAAGGATCCAGAGATACTTTTAGCGATTTCTGCTACTTGCTCAACATGCATACTATGTTAAGCTATCGTATAACTGTACAAAAACAACCATCAAAATACGTGGACTTACATTCAAGTGAAGCACTATCATTGCTCATCTTTCTAGCCACTTGTAACCATGAATTGCATTGTTTTATTAATTGGCGCTGGCCAACTGTGTACATTTCACGCTCCATATTGATATCGCAACAAGAAGTACCGGTAACAGGACAAATGTTTGATGTTGGGCCTTTAAATAAAATAAGGAAACAGAATATCACTGACTTACCATTTATAGTTGAACTATGAACTCCTGTTAGCATAGTATACCTTAACTTCATCCATTCTTGTTTAAAACTGTTGCAATCAAGAGCATTTGTTGTTGTTGCAAATACTGCTATTATTAACCAGAAGCTTCCTAGAACTTCAAAGTTAACCATTTCAGAGGCACTTTGTGTTGAAATAAAAATGTTTGACAGAAGGGATACAGGAAACACTAGTGTTTCATAGTGATAAGAACTAAAAGAGATTGAAAAAACAAACAACAGTAACGATTTTGTAAATGAATAGAGGTTTGCATGGATGATATCTGTCAAAAGGGGACAACTACATAGTCACAGTTAAATATACACTTGATGCTTTGTTCTTATAATACAAATATTGCATCACTTCAAAGATTATGCTAGTTTCTTGACTGATACTCCCTACATATTATATAAATATATGTATATATGTCAATATTATTTTATAAAGTAACATATAGATGTAATTTTTGAGTATATGAAGAACAAAACAGTCTGAGAAGAAACTATCCAAGTAACCAAAATGAAAAGACAAAAAGACCATAAACTTAGAGAAAATAACGAATAACCTGAAATTCTAGAAAGCAAATGAACCTATGTCAGCTGTACATTTGAAATTCTAGGAGTATGAAGGACTGAACATATTTATTATTGTCATTCATTTTAAGACATCTCTGAGTCACCAAACAAGACAAAGATACAAACGTGGTAGCCCACACTTCAGGTCAAGGATCAGAATATTAAGTAGAGACATGAATGACTAGTGTTATTTTTTGTTCTAGGTACCCTAAACATCCTTCCAACCTAATCAAATTACAGGTGGCCTATCTTCGAAAATGGTTAAATAGACCAAACAACATGAAATTCTGTACAAAAATGCACGACTTCACGTTAAAGAAATTAAAAATAAGGGAATAAAACAGAAAGAATAGAAAACATGAGGCCGAAAGAATCATTTAGAGTTCGGAAAATCTTCAATATTCTATGCCAAAGAGTAAGCATATATGCAGGATTGTAAACGACTTTGAGTTATTTTAATGAAAATCACCAACTGACGGTTGTTATCATCCCGATAACACCTCTGGCAACCTACACTTTCCTATACAGGTCAGACCAGCAGTTAGTTAGTTTGGTTTCACTGCACCTAGTTCTCTCCCAATATAATTTTACTTTAGATAATATTTCTTATCGTGGACGGTGATGGGTTGGTACGTGCAACAAATACCGAAAATTTAGTCGATGAAGACAACTCCATCGACTGCCCTACCTATCTTACTTAAGACTATGCCCCACTCCAGTACTAATAATATTGTTTCATCGTAGCTTGTATGCAGGTTCTGTATAATAAGTTTAATTTGTAAGCTTTATTTATAAATGTACGCAAAAACACAAATGCTAGTTTTGGATAATGAGGTCTACAGATTCGCTTAATACTCAAACAGTGAAAGTGCCAACGTATCTATTACCGTGATTTTATGAAGCTATCAAATATGTCTTGTACATCCGAAATATTCACAAAAGGCGTATGGCACGAAGAAATTCAAAAAGCTACGAGTTGTAATAGTGTGACAAAAAAGAACTGATGAGTAAAGACAGATCTACATAACCAACTAGTATTAAAAGCTTGTAAATTGATCAAGGCCAATTCCTTGTTTTATGCGTTAGTGCACTGTTGCTCAGTTGTGATACTGCTATACTTGCCATCTGAAATGACGGAACCCGAGGCTTATAGTTCTGATTTGTAAAATCTAGTCTAATTCTGAGTTCTGTCAATTTTTGCGCATAGTGTCGTTTCATCGATCATAATAACTTAACCAAGATCAGGAAGTAATTCATTACAAACACCAATTATATGATCTTTCTTAGTCCCGAGTGGGAAGTAAAAAAAATCATTTTTGACCTTATTTTCTGTTTATTTCTGAAATTATTTCAATATTAACTAATGTGCACACATTTTCACACAAAGACGAACATAAACAGAAACAACCACTGAAAAGACTGAGACAAACTTTGACTAAAAATGACTTGAAAAACTCAGTTTTCGTAAGTTGCCTGATTCCACTGGCGATAAATTGTGAGCACGTTCGGCGATAGCATTTCACAAATGAAGCAGAAATCAGAAATCAGCAATCAGTCATTTTCGTTAGTTTACCTCTTAAAAATACTATCAGGTGGATAATCCCAGCTCCAAACGATAAAATAAGCGTTGCCAAGTGGCATCACGGTCCAGTAATGAGCATCAACAATTCATTTTAACACGTTAGGAATCTGATGTAAGAAGTCATTATCAATAACCAACACATTGCAAATTAGTTTAACTTCGTTAAAACGGCATACCATGGCATAACAATGAAAGTACAGTACAAAAGTACCTAGTGTAACTAAAGCTACACTGGCAAAAGAGTGCTCTAAAGTAAGAACATTGAAGGACATTGTCCAACGCCTTCAAGGAAAAACTGGATCTTCACAGAGCTACTGCAAAAAGTAACAACGGCTGTTCGGTCTAGTGTTCTTATCATTGAAGCCAACTTATTCTGGAGCCAATAAACTAGGTTCATCTGTTTCTCTTCAGTCACAAATTATTGCCAGAGAATAATATACAACTTGCAAAGACACAACTTACAAATGCTGAAGACGGATAGTACAGTAGGCGAAGAAATGTTACTACAGCATGATTTAACGAACTCAGCAAATTGCAGGTTGTTTAGTTAGTTGCTTAGAACCCAGTTAATCGAAAGACTTCTCGTCCACCAGACTGAGTAGCACTTGTTGTGTTTGGAGGTTGACAGCAATACCCATTTCACCAGGCTAAATTACATGGGACGAGATTCAGACTTGAGACTCGCTAGATGGAACCCGCGTCCTCAAGTCAGTAAGACAACTAAACTTCGGCAGACATTCTTAGCCATATGCCTCACATAACTTGTGGTACACGGGGATATAGTTGACAAGTAAACATACCAGAAAAAAGGTGAAAGTCATACAGATTCAGAGGTAGGAAAAAGTGCAACACGTTGAACATGAGGACTATGACGAGTTACACCTCCGTCACCTCAGCGTAATAATAAACAATCAGTCACCAGGAAAGTAATTTGGTTATGTTAAGAAGTGTAGGATGTATGGCAACGATGTTACTAGAAGTGAAGCTGTTACGACAGATTAAACGTCATCACTACACTATTCAGTACAGGGAAACCTGGATTACAAACTCTAAATGGTTCTTAAAAAGCTAAAGAATGGAGACCACGTTTAGCAGCTAATAATATGACCACGAGAAACAAAAATCGGCACAACGTGCAAGTTAATATAAGTTAATATAAGAATTAAGGTGAGAGTTAAGAACTTCAGTACGTTCACAATTGATCAATAGCGTAGTATTTTGGTTATCTAAATCTAATGAGTAGATCCACGGTTGTGGTTTTTTTGTTCAGCTTACCCTCAAAAACAAGCATACCACGTAAATAATCATGCACGCGTATAATAATCATTATTTGTATAATAGTCAGTGCATTACGTGCTAGTTTATACCAGAATAACATGGGCTGCCACATATAAATGCCAGCTTATTCGAATAAGCACACCAGGTGTCCATTATACTCAAGATGAAACAGGACATCATCTAGAATTCAGGCAGAGATGCAGTCGTTTATTTCATAGAGACTGATTGCCGATCTAAACATATAACGGTCAGCTTAGGGAAACGCATTTGACGACGGTATTATAATTAACCTACATAGGAAAAAATTATCAAAATCCCGATAGCGAGTAAACAGGAATTATTTGCTAGTTGTCAGATTTATTGGCAAATGTGGCAAATTTTTAAATGGGGAAAGATGTATCTTTTACTAACCAAAAATATAGGAGCACTTTGGTAGGTTAAATCCTCAAAATTCCTAAAAATTAATTCCGGGTCCATAAAACCCGCCTGTTGCAATCAACCTTGCATCAGTTTTGAATAGTACTCCATTTGAAGAAATGATGGTTATAGGCGGTTGAAAATATTATGAAGTGAACCAAAAGTGAAGCCTGAACATCCACACTGAAAAATTATCAAGTCTGACTAAAGAAACTATTCTGATCTATTTCATCAGTGACAGTGAACAGCTCATCAGAACTGAAAAGTTATGATAGTTACGAAAAGTTGACTACAGATGATGACGTTGAGAGGCCGATCTGTGCTTATGGTTCTGTTCTGTAGTTTAACCAAAATTCCCAATGCTTCCAAACGACCAGCTGACCTATTAAGTCTCCCTGCATATGCGTGTTTAAATACCCTTAATAATCCATTATTCACATAGTAGTCATGATCTCTATTTCCCTGGAGCTCGTTAAGCAAATCTAGAACAGAAGACGTAGTCTGATTTGGTCTTAAGACCTTACTGACTATCGAGGGTCATGTCCCAGGCTGACTCCTGTGGTTTGAATTCGCCGAAGAAATGACTGGTTTTAAGTGGTTGATGTTAGAAACGGAATCACTGACTATCTGTTTTTCATGGCCAGAAACATAACCCGTTTCTCTCGCTTATTACTACACTGCAGAATAATGTGAAAAAATGGATACTGTTCGGTCTAAAGTACACAGCGGAAATCCTTGGTAATAATGGTTGCTTCAAACCCATTTTACTTATGTGTGAACTATTGCAGTGCTTCACTTTTGCAAGTAGTCGGTGCTATGCCGAAAAATCCACCCAAAGTGCTCTGAAGTTCAAGTTTTACTGTCAAGTCTGCGTTTGAGTGGAGTGAAGGATGTGGATAAATAAAAGATGTCATCAAGAGAAATGACGCACAAGTATACCTATTCATGGTCTTTTTATACCTTTTTAACACGATCAAAGTTTCAACCCACTCAAACTAAGCGCCGCCGCAATAATCCACAGAATTATAAGTGGTCACTAGTTCTCGTATCCTTGAAACGAAAGCTAAACATAACCAGATTGATAAATGAATTCAGTTGAATAAAGATTACCGAGTATTTTCCGCTCCCCTCTTAAGACTTTATAAGCTTTTTACACTCATATATATCATTGTATTTAACCCAGCATGTGGTCGACTGGACGCCTCTACTTCACTTGCCAACCCCTTGCTTAAGGAGGACATTCAGTATTAATTGCTTTTAGCCTTTGTATGTAATAATTTTTGGACTACCTGTGGAAAGCTGAAAATGAGACAGGACACAGGGGTGCAGGCAAAATGTGATGATCAGTGTTTCCCAGGTTTTGTCAGATATGAAAAAAGAAATGGTGACGCTACGTTCCTCCCAACATATACTGGCCTGAAATGCATCATATTTAGAGGCTTTATTTAACCGCAGCATCTCTCAGAGGCTTACCTCAAGGCTAACACTACCCACGGTGTCCAGGGTTGCACTTCAGGTGCACTAATACATACTTGCTAAAGTTATTGGCAGGGAACAAGTGCGTTGATGTGGCTGTGAATTCAGCTGTTCAAACGTTCATTTTAGTCAGCTCATAAGGTTCCACAAGTTTAGAAAATAGTCATTTAATGTTATATGCGGTTCTATACAAACGCTCACAATTCCAAAAAGATATAAATGTAGTAATGTAATAATATCGACACATACTTGAACGGTGTTTTCAGACCACCCAAGTAGAAACCCTCTTGTTTAAATGATCTCTCAAAATTTACAGAGGGGCCACCCCACTGTAGCCAATCTCACATAAAGACGATTCGCCACACCACGCTACTACCAAATAGCTCACAGCCTACTCTTCGTCAGAAATAATCTCAAACATAATGTGTTCGATTTCTTTGAATTCACTGGTTAAATTATTGGCGCCAACGTGTGGGGGAAATGGATTATATCTTAGGATACCACTGCTGTCATCAGCAGGAAACTATCTGCTTTGTATGCACACTCATCGCGGATAGTAATTCTGATCCACTGATTAAAGAGATTACCTCTCAAGTGCTTCCTTAGTGTTCGTGTCAGGTTCACCGACACACCGTATAGATAAAAGGGCGTGGTGGTGATGGAGTCGCCAGTGGGTCATTTACTTGCAGAGTATTTCATGACTGGACTAGATAATAGTGTGCTACGACCCACTATTAAAACTTTTCGTGTTTATGGAAGATGCATGGATGATAGTTTCATCATGCGTGACAACACTGCCGACACCCAAATGATAATGAAGGATTTCAACAGCCGCCACCATTCTGTCACGCCCACTTCGGAACCAGGGGTGAACCATGAACTCTGTTTTGAGGATGTTTTCTTTAAAAGGAGACCTGACGGATTTCTCCTGGGATCAACCTAAAGAAAACCAATATGGACTGGCCAGTAGACAAATTTTCATAGCCGGGTTCGTTTGAAAAGAAACATATAACTTTTTTCATTTCACTCTTCAAAAATAAGGGTATGCGCTTGTTACACAGATGTGACGAACAGGAGCAATTCAGACCCGAAAAACTGGATATACTTCAAGATTTACAGATAAAAACATGAAACTTGAGTGAAAATCTGGAAGAATCAAAATGGTGCCACAGAAACCACAGTTTATGAATGTGTAGCGGCAAATAATTCCCCAAAATTATTGACCACAGCAATCACTCATTGGATGCTGACCACCACTGTTTAAGTCGACTTGTTTAGCTGAAGGCTTCCGGCCAAGCATCCCCGCCATTTGGTACCCTGTCGTGTCACGTGCACGATCACTAACCAGCTAAGCGTTCGTCTGAAGGCTTGTTTTGGTCCTGAAATATATCACGAAGTTTGGACGATCAATTATTGGCTTTCTGTGGTGATTGACAATTTCTATCTCTGTATTGTTTAAAATACTTACTGTTGACTGTTGATATGTTTCCTATATGAATTGCATAATAATTCCGCTAAATACAAATTCCTGATTGCTGCCCTCTCTGAGTTTTGGTTGGATTCGTGTAATTCCGTCATCTCGAAATACTAATATTACAAGTACAATAAATTACTACAAATTGGCGTCGCGATGGAGCTAAGTAACCTGGGAAAATTCCCAATTAATGGGTCTCCGCGGGAGATTGCTGATTATTTGGAATGCTTTGATGCGTGGTGCATTTCCAAGAATGTTCGGGATGACAAAATACCAGCACATTTCATCACTACTATTGGGCTTGATGCATATAGCCTGGTGAAGAATCTGGCGTTTCCAGATAAACCCATTTCTCTGCCATATGACAAGATCCATGAACTTCTGACAAATCACTTTCATGTGACTACATTTGAGACCAGAGAGAGGGCTCACTTCAACAAACTGGTACGTTCTCCCAACCAGAAGATTAGAGACTTCATTCTTCAACTTCAAATTCATGCCTCAAAGTGTAACTTTGGAGATCAGCTGCATACTCAACTACGTGATCGTCTAATTGCTGGAATCAATATTCCTAAATTAGAGAAAGAGTTAATTCAGATTCCTTCTTGTACTTTTCAAACTGCTAAAGATGTATGTATTACATATGAAGATGTCAATAATGAATATTCTGCTCCCACTACGTCAGTGTCTGATGTTATGCTTTCTAAAGTCGAAAATACAAGTGGTAATGGAAAGCAATCCAAACTGCCGTCCACAGGTAATAGAATGCAGCCAGAGATCGAAAACATTAAACCATGTTTATCCTGTGGAAAGTTACATCTACGAAGCACTTGCCGTTTTCGGGGTGCTAAGTGCTATAAATGTGGTAAAGTTGGACACATCAAGACGGTTTGCAGAAGTTCGAATACATATGTTGCTCAACATTCTTATAATTCTCCCAAGCTGTCTAGTAAAATGGAGTCTATGTGTCTTTCAACCTTTCAAAATACTCAAGCCAATCCAATGAAAACCTCCACTACAAGTTCGGCAACTCAAGTGTCAACTGTTTTCAAAAATGAGGTAGCTGAGTTGCAAAGCGAACTGTCGAAAACACGAGAAGAACTGACTGAGATGAGAGAGCAGCTGATTAAAATGGAGGAATTGATGCATATGCATAGACTGCGTCTGTCGAATGCAGAGCATACATGTACCCGTGAAAGTCCTGCAAAACTTTTCAAATCTCGAATTCTCAAGAAGCATCTGATGTCCACGACTTCTAATGCACATTATTATAAAGGTAATAACTATAGACCTCTGTTGGAATTATACTACAAAAAATGGGAAATCGAGTGGTAAAGATATCAGACATCAAAGATCACTGAGTTCATAACGGACACCTGGAAAAAGTGACAATAAATGAAGTAGGTCGTTCCAATTATAATATTATTGATTCCGCTAATAATCCTGATTTTGTAGATAATTCAGAAATAGGTCCAGATAATACTGATGAAAATAATATCACAGAATCAGTTAGGTCGAAGCTACTTGCAAGCAAACCGAGACATCGTTATAAATACGCGAGGAGATATTCGAGGTGTGGCGGATGTGGTGATTGACAATTTCTATCTCTGTATTGTTTAAAATACTTACTGTTGATTTTTTTTATGTTTCCTATATGAATTGCATAATAATTCCGCTAAATACAAATTCCTGATTGCTGCCCTCTCTGAGTTTTGGTTGGATTCGTGTAATTCCGTCATCTCGAAATACTAATATTACAAGTACAATAAATTACTACACTTTTGCTTTGTTTTCGGTACGCGAGAATAATTTAGAGGCTGTGTAAGATAATTCCGTCAACCTCTAAACTGGTGAGCCCAACCGCGAAATTCATCCACGATAAATCCTCAGGTAACCCCAGTGAGTTCGTTCCATTTTGTATTTGTTCTTGTACCATATATTATTCGACATAATTTTCGTCATGAGTGATCTTAGTCCCAAGGTCATCCGTATCCGCTCAACTCCTAAAACCATTCAAATTGTACCATACTGGCCAGATAATGCTGAAACGTGGTTTCAGCTAGCTGAAGCAGATTTTTGTGAGCATGGGATAACCGATCAACGTTCACAGTTACTTGCAGTTATCCACCCCCTACCGCGGGAATTCAGCAAGTACGTGACATCACA